TCCTAAAATATTTGTCAAACCTAAATCAAAATTAAATATTTTACATAGTATCATAAGTTTAGTGTATAAAATATGTATCATCTGTAATTTATATTTAAATATATTTTGTACAGGCATGTTATGAGAAAAAGACAATTTGAATCTGAAACTAAATTTGATGTTGTCGATTTAGATCCCTATGGATGTCCAACAAATTTATTAGATCCAGCTGTGTGTAGTCTTGCTGACAATGGGTTATTGTTAGTCACCTGCACTGACATGGCTGTCTTAGCTGGTAATACACCAGAATCGTGTTATGCAAAATATGGTTCAATATCGTTGAGATCTCCAGCTTGTCATGAAATGGTATATTTCATATCTATAGCTATTTAAATTTATTTATCAAGTTTTATTTATATTAATTTTAGGCATTAAGAATTGTTTTGCATACAATTACTAATGTGTGTACTCGATATGGTCGTTATATGGAGCCATTATTATCAATAAGTGCTGATTTTTATATAAGGGTATTTGTAGTTATACGTACTAGTCCTTTTATGTGTAAAACAATGTCCAGGTAAATATAGTTCATTTATTTGTATTAAATAAATTAAATACTAGTATATTATATAAGTATAACTTAATCAACAATTTTTTACTTTAATTTCTAGAAAAAATATAGAAGTATTGATATATTAATAAATCAATTTAAATAATATTTTTTAATTTATAGCAAAATTTCAACAGTATATAAGTGTAGAGGATGTAATATGACAACTTTGTTACCATTAGGCTCTGCTAAATCAGATTCAAAAAATATGAAATTTACTCTTTTGTCTGGTCCACCAGTTGACAAAAAATGTGAACATTGTGGATTTCCTCATTTAGTAAGTGGTTATAATTTAAAATTTACAAAAAATATATTTTATTCAATTATTTTTTTTTTTTTTAGGTGGGAGGACCTATATGGAATGGTCCTTTGTATAACACTGAATTTCTCACTAAATTATGCAATTACATAAAAACTGAAGAAGCCGAAAAAAAATTTAATACTATTAAGCGAATGAGGGGAATGTTGGGTATGATGCAAGAAGAATTACAGGATATTCCATTGTATTATACAGTACCTTCACTTACCAATACTGTTCATTGTGAAGCAATGCCATTGAGATACTTTTTGTAAGTATAAATCAGTTTCTTTTTTTTCTGATATTTACTTATTTATAAATAATAAAACAAAATATTTTTAAATCCTCTTATATTGATGCTTTGTTAAAATCTATTTTTTTGTCTGTAGAAAAATAGAAAAACACCCTGTTTCTTATTTTTTTTATGGTTTTAATGTTGAAAATGATATAATTTATTACAAAATTAAAAGGAGATAAATTAATCTTTGATTCTATGTCTGTGTTTTCTCAAACATTCTTTAAGTTTAATGTAAAATATAAATCTCACATTTAAGTTTACATTGTAATCAAAACTAATATATAATCCATACATTAAATTTCATTCTGTTTAGTATAAGTCATGTTTGTTTTATTGTATTCTAAATAAAGTACTATGTAAAAAAAATCAAGAAACATTTTATGAGTGACAAAAAAAATTAAAATTTATAATAATACAATTGAAGCATTTTTAAATATTTTTAGTTCTGCATTAGTGGGTGCTGGATACCGTGTATCTTCATCACACTGTGCACAAAATAGTGTTAAAACTGATGCACCTCAATCAGTTGTTTGGGATGTCATCAGAACTTGGGTTCAAACACATCCAGTATCTGAAAAACGATTACTAGATTCAGTTGCAGCAAGAACAATTTTGTCTAAACAATCTACGACTGAGATCATTTTTGATAAAAAATATAATACAGTACCAAAATCATTGCAGGGATTAGTACGTTATCAACAGAATCCTGCACCATATTGGGGACCAGGAACTAAAGGAAATTCAAAGTAAAAATTTAAATATTTATCCTTTAAATTATTTATTATTATTAGGACTTGGGTTCATGTTTAAAAAAAATCAAAATATGTAGATAAATAAATACATGTTGTATAGTTTAATTATACTTGGATCTTCTTCTTAATTACAATAAGCTATTTTATTCTTCATCTTTGTTGCTATGTTTTGTATTTGTATAACTTCTTCTGTGAGACATTGAGACTTAGAACTATCTAAAGTATTAGATCATCTAGAAATCCATAATTGGTAAATGTATATATTAAATCATATTTATGATATATTTTATTTGATTTTTAATTAGGATTTGTCACTGTATTTATATGATCTTTAACATTTTATAAGGTTTTTCTATAGAATTTCACTCTCCTTGATCATGATTCCAATTTTTTAATAATTGGTTCTGACAGAAGACTTAAATTTGAATACAATTAACTTTTTGCAACTGAAAGGTTTCAAAAATTGTACTAAAGTGGTCAATTTGTTCATTTTAGAAAATGTAGTTCTTTACTTCTTACAGTTTCACCAATGTGATAAAGTGTATCTATACGAGAAAAAATTAATAGCCATTGCATATTTTAACAAAATATAGTGTTTAAGTTTTTAAGATAAATCTTCATGAAAATGAATTAACTTATTTTATAATTATTGCTGAAAATAATGAATTATGTATAAAAACATGTATTTATGACAAAATAATTAAATACGTGTAAAATTAAAGTAAATTAATTTTATTAAGAATCTTTTGATTCAAAGAACAAACAAGAAATTAATTTAACTTTTGTTAAAGCTAGGTTATTTTAACCTTAAAAAATATGTATTGCGATATAAATCCGAGGCTCTCATTTTTATAACATAACGTGCAAAAGAATGTTGTATTATATTGACATTTGTATAATATAATTTTGTATTTTTTCAGACAAAAAGTTGTCTTAAGTGCTACAGAAGTGGAATGTGAAACGGATATCAAATGTTCTAAATAGTTTAATTTTGTATATATTATAAATATGACATGTTTTGTTAATACAGATTATTTTTATAATATAACATCTAGATTATAAATATTGTGTTAATTTATAGAATTTAAATTTACATTAATAACATTGTTTTAAAATATCCATTACTGGTCATTAATGATTAGTAATTAATGAATCATTCTCATTAAAGATTATGAATTGGATAAATTTACTAATTTGTAATTTTATGAAATTCTGTTTTGCAGTTTAGTTGTTTATTTTTTCTGTGTAATAGATTGTTTTTAAGTAAAACAATTTAAAATACTATTAATGCCTTGAAAACAATTTTGTTGTTTTAAATTTTTTTAGGTCTACTCTTCTTTAATATGGACTCCAAGTTACTATCAGGCAATAATTATTTTTTTCTCAGTACAAATTTTTTTTTATACACATAAAATTTATAATATAATAATAATAAAAAAAAAGTATAGTCATTGCTCTTAGGAATCAGGACCCAGAGATTTTTAGTTTGCTGTGAATGTTAATTTTTACAATGAAAATTAAAAATTATTTGTATTGGTAAATACTAAATAAGTACAATCCATGAGTTATTAAATAGGAAAAACATGTTCAATTCTCTAAGGAGTAAAGACAGTACTTTTAATTTGTCATTTTATTATTCTTTTTGTACATAGCTTTAGTTTCTATTTATCTAAATTGAGCTTTAGCTCAATATAAATTAAATAATAATTTTTAAGCATACTCAGTACATTTTCATACCTAAATTAATCATTTATTCCAATTTTAGTTTTTGGGATTTGTAAATATATTTTTAGCAAATCTGTGTGGCATAATATACTCATTGCACCATTACGCTGTCACTGTGTGAAGCATATTAAATTGTAAGTATCAGTTATAGAGGTGAATGACAAGAAACTGTTGTCAATAAAAACAATATAATATATTAAACTCATTATAATAATGTATATGCTAAATTATTTAAAATTATACCTGGTTCTAAATTAATATTTTATGATATCATATAATGATTTTTAATTTTAACTTGTACATAAAAGTACATAGAACAATATTTTAACTGAGAAAATGATAGTTAGCTACCTATTCTAAATTTATAAGTAAGTGACAACACCATTAAGTGCCCCTGTCTAATGTATAGATACAATGTACAGATTTATCTGTAATTACTACAGACAGTAACTAGTTGGTGTACTTATACAGTTAATCATTAAACACAACAATTTGGATTCAATATAATGTATTTATATACCTATCATTATTTTATTATTTTTAATTGAAAAATGATTACAAAATGTATAATTTTCATATTATGATAAAAAATATATCTTTTAATATCTCAAAATCTATTCTTAACTATATACATATATATCTATATCTAAGTAGATAATGTGTGTATCAGCAGAGAGGAGGAACTTTGAAGCTGTACAAATAAATATTAAAAATTAGTGGTACCTAATTGTTTATTTGTGTGTAACATATAATGAAAGTATTAAAACCACCAAAAATATGCAAATGCATTCAACCCTACTCATTTTAAGTAGTAAGGTGTTAATTTATATGCATTTCAATTGTAACATGTTTAACTGACCACTGCCCATTTAAGAGTTATACACTCAAAGAAAAATCCATTTGAGTTCAAAGTCTTTAATGAACAAATGTTTTTTTCTGTAATGTCAAATGTGATATATATTTTGCTTTGAAAGCATAAAATATATAGTAAATAAAACCATATACTTTCGTCCAGTGTCCATTATTATACTAGGTACAAAAAATGAAAAAAATGAGACAAGTACTCAAAATTATAAATAATATCAAACTTGTTTCATAACAAATAAAAATTATGTGTTTTAAATTAGATAAAAATGAATTAATTTATTATTATTATTATTATTATTATTATAACATAAATAAAATATTTTTTTAATTTAATGGCATGATAATAATATAAAAATAAACTCTAAAACTAGGTAGGTAATTCATAAAAGTATATAGGTACTATTAACATACATGGTATACTATACATTTATATAAGTATTTTATAGCATACATATAAATCATTTAGGTATTCTATAGTTGGATGTATTTACTTTTAATTGATTGCAGTTTCTGTAATTCTTCGTCATTAAGCTTCTGTAAATTTATGGAAACAAAATAGCACAATGTTAATATATTTATTATAACTATTTATAAAAGGTGGCTCCAGTTATTAAAAGAATGTGTATGGTATATTATGGTTACCTATCTGAAAGTTTGATTAATTTGTTAAAATTTGATCGTTAGTAAGTTATTATTACAAGTTAATAGATTTTTAAAATTTATTTTCAACTTGATTTTAAATTAAATTTTTAAATCTTTAAATTTAAATGCTATTATATCGATTGGTTATTTTTTCAATTTTAAAAAAACTCTTTAATTAATGTACCTATGTAAAGAAATAAGTATTTTAAATGATAAATTAATTTTATAGAAATAATATTGAAATAATTAAAATCTAAAAATTGTGTTTTCCACAAGATTTTGAGCACGTTATAGATTTTTTATATATATATATATATATATATATTTTATAAAATACAAGTACCTATTTTGACAGTAAAAAATTAAAAGTTTAATGTGGACTTTCTTCAGATTAAATATCGAACACATATTTTTATAATAGTTTAAAGAGGTTAATAATTATTCTTAGATATTGTTTGAAAAAATATGAAAAAACACAAGTTAAAGTAGGTACCTACCTAAATATTGACAAACTTTAAAAAAGAAAGTATTGGTCTTGCAAACAGCTTTCAAATTGTGAGTTCATTTATAATTAGTTTAGTAAACAATTTAAATAATAAATATATTATAATATACCTTAATAAACTTTTTTGTTTCCTTAATAAGTTCCGCGTGCTTTTTCAAAGAATTATATATCCTTCTTGAGATGTACTCCTTTTCATTTTCCATCTCATTTATTCTAAAAATATGTATTATATTTTAAAAGATAATATTATAAGTATAAAATGAGTTTAATATTTTAAATAGGTTTAAAAAAGTAAAAAATTTTACTGTTTATGTAAATTATTTTTTTCTTCTGTTTTGATTTCAACCAGTTTTAAATTTTCCGTGTCATTAAAATTATTATTTTCTATTTCTGCTTTAATCTTATTCAACTTATTTTCAAGCTCTTCTTTTTCCTAAAATAACCATTAAAAATAATACTTAAATAAAAATTAAACTATAAAAATAAAATTTTTTTTTTTAGTGCAGTACCTTTAAAACTTATATGATGGGTACTAGTGATGGGACACTATTGATATAATTATTTAGTTATTATAAAATACATCTGATAAATAGTATTGTTTATATTATAACGAGGTAATAATAAATACACAATTACCATTTATAGATTAAAAAAAACTTGTCAAATGAATACAATTGCCAATTAAAAATATTTTTTTTATCCGATTATAATAGAGTAAAAAATACAAAAAAAATACAAAAAAATGAAAAAAAATGTATTAAATATAATATACATATAAAAATATAAATACATTTTATAATGGTACTTAAAAAATGCTATTATTGTTAATGAATTTAGTAAGATTAAAAAAAATAGTTGGATACTAAATGTAAAGTAAATACTAAAAATCTATAGTCTTTTAAAAAAAAAAATTAAGTAGAAACTATCTATCATTGAGAATAGCACAAAAATATTAAAATAAAATTTACCTTAAATTGACGATCAGCGATTTCTAACCAATGTTTTTTATCAGCGTTGCGTTCAAAATCTGATTTTTCAACTATTAACTTCAGTTTGTTGTATTCTAGCTGTGCCTAAGTCATAATAATTTGTTCGTACCTAGTATACAGCATACATATATATTTATTCTTTCAATTTATTAGGTACTTACTAAATCAACATTAATTTGTATAGAAGCATTTTTTTGTTCAACTTCTTTAAGTCTTTGAACATTTTTATTTTTTAAAGATTTTAATAATTCATCAACTTTTTTCAGAGATTCTCTTGTGTATATAGCAAGAATATTCTTATCTGTTATAGCGTTTTCAAGTTCAGGTAATACAACAATATTTTCTGCACACAGTTTATGGTATTGTACAAATAATGTGTCCAGCTAAACAATAATATATTATAAGCTTATAAAGAAGGCTACTCATAGAGGTTAAGTATCACTTATCAGACTGTACTTAGAAACATAAACTATAAAAAAAAACAAACATAAATATGATTTAAAAAATAAATAAAATATATAAAAATGTAAAGTCACGAAAAGTCAATATTAAATAGTATATGTATTATTTAAAATTTAAATAAAATATCTTGTATTTAATTTAGATTCTAAGTATCACTATTTAATGAATTAACAACTCTTTATTGTTTATCATAACTAATGTTATTATTATTTATTTATGTACAATAGGTATTATACTAATCCATAGCTTCTTTAATAAAATTAAAAATTAATACAGCTATCAAGAAGGTAGGTAATATTTTTTAAGAAAGATAGAAGGAAATAGGATCTACCATCTACTTATTGGAAATTGAACACAAATTATACTTTATTCATTTGGTTAGAATTTGAATATTGAAGACTGTCTATTTTATTTTGATATTTCTAAAAATTATAATTTATTTCACTATGTATATTACTATTATAATCAACTGTAAGTTTATTTAATTTTTCCGAAAATATTTCATTTGTAAATCGTAATAATCAATACTAACTTTTAATTTAACATCAATAACTTTTAAATTTTCAGAGCACACTATGTTTTTGTATTCTTCTAAGCAATTTTCCTCAAATTTTAAGTCTTGTTTTAGACAAAAAATATCTTCTTCAATAATTTTCTTATCAGCTTGAGTAATTTCTTGACTATTAATACAACTATTTACCATATTTAATTCTTTTTGTAAGTTTTCAATATTGTTTTCTGAATAATATTTAAAATAATAATATTAATATATATGTATAAAAAAAAAAAAAAAATAGAAAACATAAAACTCAATTAAATTTTTTAAATTTATTCGACTACAACTGTCAGGTATTATGATATACGTAACACAATAAATATTTAATACATATTTGTCATCGGTAAACATAAAAAAAGAACGCTATACATTTACTTAAGTGTAAATAATGCATTCTTGTTTTATTGTACAGATTAATATGGTCAATTTTAGTAGTAAAAATCAAACTAAACATAAAATTTAAATACAAATAAATATAAATGCAACATAATTATATTTTACAAAAGTAATTTTTACAATATTTACATATTTATAAAATTACAAATAAAAATTAAATATATTAATTTTGAGTATCAAAAATAAATAGGTTAAATTAAATACCTACCTTGAAAAACACATTCATCCTTTTTTTTTAATATATACTCCTGTATTTCATTGTAACAAGTTTGTAAATCTTTAATATAGTTTTTTGAATTAACAATATCTTTATGTAATGCTATTTTCATAGCTTTCATTTCCTAAAAAACATATGTAGTTATATAAATGATTGTATATTTCATAGCTATTTAAAATAAATAATAAAAATTTTACAAATTACCTATAGTTTATAATTTTATATTTTATTAATTCATGTTTAACTATCTATATCTACCTTAAATTATTATATAATTTATATCTAATGCTTATTAATTAATTAATAAATATGTTAAGGCGAAATCTTCATAATTTTAATACCAAAAAAGCATACTATTTTTTCTAATTTTAATTTTCAAATTCTATTTTCTTACTTACCAAATATTTGTCAAACTCTAAAATTTATTTATGATTTTAACCTATCTTTTACATAATTTTAATATTGTTTTGTATTCATAATATGTATATTAAACAGTTTATAAAATTAAAATAATTACATAGACAAGCTCTTCATAACTATAAGCTTAAATATATATATAATGTATTTATAAGTTATGAATATTATGAAGACTAACATACCATAATATAGAAGGCAATTTATTAAACATCTCGAAACTACATAAAATAATAAATATTTATATTATGTATGCACAATAACAATGTAAATTAAAAAATAACTATTTTAATAGTGTTAATGTTGTTTTAGAATTTTAAATTCTGAGTGGAAAGATAAATATATTGGTTTTACAACGGATAATGATCTAAGTATTTTATGTTTAGACACACTTTATAGTGGAAAAAAAAAATTGAATCTTTAACCTAGATAGTTAGTAAATCAGATCTAGTTGGTAATTTTATAAGTTTTTATTAAAAAATTTTTTTTAAAAATTATTTTTGAAATTGGTATCTAATTTATTAGGAAAAACAAAATTAATTAAGGAAAAAGTGAAGATTTACGTACATTTAGTTGAGAATAACTAAATGATAAAGAATTTAAATTATTCAACAAATACTTTAATTAGCATTTTACTATAGTAAAACTTTAAATTTCAAAAGTTCTTGATCTTTGTTGTGTTATTATTTATAACAATTATTATTATTATCGATTTATTTTAGCAATGCATGTATTGTGAAATTATTATTTCTGAACAAAAGAGCTTGAATGTTTAGTACAAGATTTCTCGTAATTTGTTTTCGATTAAAAATGTTGAAAATGTAAAGTATTAATTTTTCATAGTGACTGTTGAAAGTTTAAGTTTTTACAAAATTCATAAAAATACTGAAATATATAAATAACTCTTTTGTGATTATAAAAAATTTTTTTTTTTTTAAATTTTACTAGTTTAATATTTTAAATAAAAATGATGATTTCAATTAATATGTTGAAGAGCCTACGTAATAATTCCAAAAATATTATTCGTAGAAATTTTTGGTTAGCATAAAGGTAGATTATTATATACTTGACATAATGATATTTTTAATATATTAGCAATTAACAATAGTTTTTAACTGTTTATATCGCGAACCTATATGTTTATGAAACATCAGTATTTACTCATAAGTCATATCAGTTACCTAGTTAAATTATAATATAATATTTAATTTATTTCAGGTAAAAATTAATTCACCCTACCATATTATTATTATTTCATAACAAAAAAAATAAATTATTAATAGCAATATAAATATATTTAGAATTAATATTGATTGACTATAGTCAGTCATCTGTTTTTTTGTATGCAATGATTTATTATTGAATTTAAATTTAACACACTTATTACAGTAATCTACTATCTATTTAGTGACCAGGTATACTCGACACCAACAATGTAGCAGTAAGACTTTCCTAGTTTTTATTCTAATTATACCTCCAATTTTTTTTCTTCAGTAATGTCACTTAGAGTATTAAGATCCTTCTTATGGTTATTAACTTCTGTCTCTAATTTAATCAATAATTTTTTATCAATGCCAAGTGTTTTGACTAAATAAAATAAGAAATATTTCAGAATTATAATAATAATAATAGTAAAATAAAAGATAAAATAACTTAAACAAACTATAATTTTCCAGCAACAACTCTTCTTGTTTATGCAGTGATTCTTGAATTTCAAGTTTAACAGTTCCTTTACTCTCAATTTGATATACATTTAATAAAAATGGCAAGTACAACTATAAACATAATTATTTACGCTTATTTATAAAAAAAAAAAAAAAATAAAAGATGTTTACAATAGTTACAGTAAATAAATAATAAAAGTTTATCACAAAACTAGTATTATCTGTCTATAGGTATTGATGAAAATAAATTATTTAGAATAATACATTTAATTTATATTTATTCCATTTTTATGTAATTTTATAAAAATATAATTTTAAAATTTAACTTAAAATAAAATTGTAGGTTAGGTACCTTAAATTGCACTTTTTGTTCATAATCTTCAGATTTGTCCGAATCAAGGATTAATGGATACATTTCGTCCAAAACGTTAAATCCTTTTTGAGATTCACATAATTCTACTAACCAAAGAAATAAACCAACCACTTGTGGAAACGAATGACTGGCATTTACTATACAAGAACAAATCATTAGCAGGTATAAAATTTAAAAGTTTAAAAAACATAAATTAGTGGTCTATCAATTTTGATTAAACTATGGTTTAAACTTAATATTGAAAAATCATAACCATAAGCTAAGTATTTATTTTTACTATTTATTTTATTCTACTTACATATCTCAGTATCGTAAATTTAACATATACTGAATACAATAAAATGATAATGTTACTTAAATAAAAATATGCGTATATATGTATCTATATAAATATTTTTTTTTCGAAAATCATATGATGACAATGATGTATATAAATAATAAACTTAAATATTATTTAGAACCCCACTTTTTATTTATCAGACCAACAGTAACATAATGTACGCCATGGATCTGAATAAATGGTGTATTTTAAAGATTATGACTGATTATTTTATTAATGGCTGTATTCAGTAATGCGTTTCGCTTAATCAAATTTAAAATTAGACGAAAAAAAAAATTAAGTTTATAATCGTAGTGAACGTTACCAGTAATAAGCCATGATTTATCCACTTTTCCTTTATAATAATACTTTTTCATTATTTTGGGTAAATCTTCCACGTATTTATTTTCATTTAATATTTGATTTCTTTCTAGCTTTTGTAATAAATACTTGCACATATCAGTAAACCTAGTAGTTGTCATTGGCCTTATACTACCATTATTCAGAATTTTACTTGCATTTGGAGCAGTTAAAAAATAATTTTGAATCTATAAAATTAATACTTGAATAGAAAAATTAGTTAAATTAACCTTGTTTTAATTCTATTACATATAGTACTTTATAAAATTAAACAATTAAATAGTATTTGAGAGGTCAATTTTATAAATTAATTTACTTTAATATTAAAAAAAGGTTAAACGTGAATAACTGCAGTCTATAGATTTATAGAGGATACGGGCATGGCTGTTTTCAACCAAAAATTATACCTTTCCTTTTTTGACCAAAATCGTACTCTCCCTTTTCGATCAAATTAAAAAGTTCAATATTTACTATATGTTATACATATAGATAATTTAATACTTTCGTAATTAAAACATATATTAAATATTAAACTTCTTAGTGCGGCCAATTAGTTGACAAGTGAATTAGCTGAAAAGGGGAGGGTACAATTTCAGTCGAAAAATGTCTTGCTTAAGCATACATTTGCTATGTTACGTCATATTTATCGGTAGAAGCAATAAATGTGGGTGGGATGATTGAGAAGTCTTCTTAAGCTTTGTTTTTACTCAAAATGTCCCTGACAAATACTTATTCTCCATAATGTGTAAGTAACCGATAACAATAAGTGTAGTTATCAGAATTATAATCTTATGAAACAGAATACTGAGAAATATTTAATTATATTTATATTATATAATACTTTATGAATAGCTGTTTGTTGAAAGTCTTTTTCAGCTAAAGGTCGCACTTCTTTTCTATTTTTAACTACGCCGTAGTTACTATAATGTGGTTCTGAGTTTGAATTTCGACTCCTATAATTAATTTTATGTTTATAAATTGAAATATAAAACTAAGTAAATAATATGGTTACTTGTCACTAGAATTCATTCCTGGAAAATTTGGATTAAGATTAGGCGTAGACGCATTTTTATTAACACTGGTGTTAATAATCACGGGTGTAGTTTCTGGGTTCTTCGATTTTGATAGCCACTGTTTTGAATGATGTTTGGACAAATTTTCTGATGAAATAGATTTTTTTCTTTCAAATAACCCAGGATTTAAAGACTTTTTTTTCGCTAAAAATCCAGGTTTCAAAAGAATTGATTTTTTTACCTTATTGTGATTTTCTTGACTATTTAATCTAATTTTTAAACATATTTATCATTGTAGTAATTACACTATTCCACAAAAATGTATCATAAAATAATTGTGTTAATGATCGAAGAATACCTCATATTATGACTATCAAACGATAATTTTTGTTTTCCACGCGTGGACCCGCTAGCTGCTGACGAACGCCTTCCAAAAGACGTCTTTTTCATAATTTTATGTTTTTTATTCAATAAATGTGTTTAAATCTAAAAAATATGGACATTTTTAGTTTTTTTTTTTTTAATTTAAGAGGATGCCACACCTACATGAATCGTTTGCAAAGCAGAGTCAATTTGATTTATTATAAAACTTAAAAGTAAGAACATTATCTCTATTTCTACTTTAATGTTTAATGATATTTTTATTTTTAGCCAAGTCAGTTATGAATTTGTGAAGTATTAAAATTTAAAAATACTTAAGAGTTGTTTGGTAAAAATATTGTAAGAAATGTACATATGTATAAATAGTAAACATGGATAATTTTCTTACTTTTGGATTTAATTTGAAGTCAATTTACTATAATGTTAAAGCTAACAACAAAAGTTAGTTTTGAATATTTTGATCTACGCAAATTTATCATGCTATAAATTTATTTATCCTAAATAATAAACAGTGGCAACACTTGTGCGTTTCTCTTGATAAAATACATAAATATGGTCAATGGTGGGGTTGAGAGGAACGGTCTCCTTTAAATACGCTTCTAATTAATACAATGGAACTGTTAACTTAGAACGAAACAAAATACACTTCAACACGTTCTCGTCACGTAAGCTATAACTATAAAATTATACTCGATTTACGTACAAAAATGGATAAATTGTTCGGAATTATTAATTAGTACTGTAGAATTGAACGAATTTGTCTATTTTATTTTAAATATTTTTTAAAATAAGTATAATATTTATTTTAAATTTTATCAGTTATAAAACAGTAAACTCGATGTTTCATATAGTAAAATATGTTGCATAACATTTTTTTTAAAATTTTACTGAACCAAGTCAATCATGATTTACTATTCTACAAGTTTATCACGAAAAACGGAAAAGTACTAGTGAAAAAACGTTGAGTAAAATATCAAGGTGAGTGGGGATAATTTCCTTAAAGAGGGATATTATTTATACATATGAGAGTGTCAGGGCAAGAAGAGATTACTTATTTTTATATCATAAAAGTTTCATATACTATGTTTAATTTGTTATTAGATATGTTAAAAAAAAGGATTCACACAAAGTTATTAAAATAATATGATTTAGTATTACCATTGATTATAGAATTCTATAATCAATGGTATTACTTTATATAGTTATATTATGCCAGTTGGAATTTCTGATGATTTATTGATAATACGCTATTAATAATAGTTGTTTGAATCAAAAAATTTAATACATAAATATATTTTATGTTTCTTAATGTATTTATCCATAACATATAATTTTAATATTGTTATAGATGTATTACTATTAAGGAAGATAAATTATTAATAAGTAAGACATAAGTAATTGTGTATGATTTTGGAGGAAGTGATCAAGAAGTTAATTGGGCAAAATTATGTGTGCTAAGATAGAGGAGGATATATACATGTATAGTGAAATTAATAGGTTCAAGTATTTAAATAGATATAGATAGTATAAAATAATAGAAATTTTAAAGAAGATATAAAATCAGAAATAGGATTATTTTTGCACGGATAAAGTGAAAAGAAGCGCCAGGATCCAGGTGATAAGAGGATGCGATTAAGATAAAAAGGCAGATATTTTATAAAAGATTTGTAATGAGGTCAATAAGTAGTAATGTTGTACGGATTAAAAGTTGGAAACTTAATTTAAAACGATTTAAGCCTGAGACGGATCTCAGCATCTATTTAAAAAAAATATTTAGTAATAATTTTATTATCTAGGTTTATAAGTAAAAGAATTTAAATTTCTTATTATTAACACAGTAGGTTAACATTTTTTCCTAAAACATTGCATAGGTATACCTAATAATAATTATTATGATATTAATATGGTTTGGAAAACGCTGTATTAGGCATAAAGATTTTTTTTGCGACATTTAATTAAAGCATAAGCAAATAGAAGTACTAATTAAACCTAGTACATATATTTGGTTTCGAAAGCTTTTGTGATTTACGAGATTACCGATTTCTAACAAACGCAAAATCATTATACATAATAAATACATTACATAAATTACATGTATATAGAAAAATAAATAATCCAAAAGCACAATATGTAGGATTATTCCATGTTGCGAAGAGGCTTAAATGTAAATAATTACTCGGTCGTCATTAAAATTTGGTTTTAAAAATAAAGTAAGGACTTTCTTAGTTCTTCCTTAGATCTTACTGACATTACACATAAAATTTACATAAAAATATATGAAATTTTTTTTTGATATTTTGATCACAAAAATAATGGGCATTAAAATATAATTTCATTTTAATTTTGTTTAGTTTAATAATTGCAGACGTTTAGCGTTTATGTGACGTATTCGAAAATATTTTTACAACTCATGTCAAGTATCAATTTTTATTTATTTTGAATAAATAAATAACACAAAACTATATATCAATGTTCTGATGCCCTTGTTAACTAGTTTATTTTTGCTGACATATAGATTTTAAATATTAAAATTTTGGATTTTAGATCAAAGATTGCTGACTTAAGATCACCCACCTGGTAGTAGAATAATAATTTTATATTGGTTGGTGGTGGGACGATTACATATAAGTACTGACAAATTGAAGTATTTAATTTTGTTAAAATTTAAACTTAAAATGTTTACAGAAGAAAAAATTATAAAAATATATTTTTGATATTTTTAAATTACTGTAAAAACAAGTTATGATGAAATTATAGCCTTGTGTTTTAAAGTCTTGACTATAAAAATTGAAAATAATATGATCTGTTGCTACAAAATTATCATTATTATATTATTAGAATGTCATTTTCTTACTACTTTTTTTGTTATACTTTTTGCAAACTTTTAAATTTGCTACGTTTTACTTTATCTATTTAGTATTAACATAATATTTTGTATTAGATTTATCAATAAATACATAAATTAATAAAATAATTTTTAAATGTTTTCGATTTTATTTAATATTGTTAATAATTGATCTTCAATTGAGTTTATAAAATAAATGTTTCCTATGTATTTCAATATCTTGAAATTTCTGAAAGCATAACTAATTGGATTGAGAAATTGTCATCCTTAATCTAATTTAATTAAAATAAAATATTCAGATATGCAAAGTTATGGAAATTTGGGCACATTATATAAAAATCTTAGTTTAAAACCGTGTACCTCAAAATGAACGTAATTTCATATGCTTGATAAGAATCATACGCAATTGGGTTTTGCTATTTTATATTATTAAGATTTAACAATATCATTAGTAATAGGTAACAGTTATTTAATTATTCTTAAAAAAATGCAATAAATTCTTTTATATTAAAATGTTTTATACCAACCAAACATTAAATAATTAAGGAGTATTACAATTTACTTACGTCTTCTTCGAAAGATAAAATGTAAATTCTTAATTTTCTAGATGGAAATTGTATACATCGTTCACGTCGCTTAATATTATATGTTTTTTTACATAGATGATTTATGACAGTGTTATCAATACTGTAATTTTGACAGAGTGATGCAGTCAGTCACGGATCACTAAATTATATATTATAATTAATAATAAATAGAGTTGCCCTAATAGAATCAAATAAGTTAGGGCAGTCAGAAAAATTCGATAAAAATTTATCGACAATTAACTCTGCAACAGTTATCATTTTTTTAAAAATTTTATCAGGAGCTATAAATATTTTTTTTTAGATTTTATTTGTATTTACATTGAGAGTTTTTATTATTTTTTTATTATTTGATTTTCCACCATGATCGACTTGAATATATTATTTTTCAAAAGTATTATAAGCTTTACGTTAATTTCTACTTTTTTTTTTTTTTATTGAACTTCAATTTCCGAAATATTTGTCACCAAAACATATTTTGTTTTTGGGTACCATAACGAAAAACTACGAAAAAATATAATAAATAAAATGAACAACCTATTGAAATACGGATACACGAAATAGGTTAAATTATGATTTATGATGTTTAGTTTATATATTAACACTTTTGCTACTTTTGTAGAAATTCGAATAAAGGCAATGTAAATTATATCATATTATTACCTACTATAATGTTTTATGATAACATTATACTATTATATTGCAGTATTATTAGTTATTACTTACTACACAAAGTTATCAGAATTCTATAAAATACTAAATAGGTGCCTAATATATAATTATTAATTATCATATTTTATAGAAGTCTGTGTAATTATAGCGAATACTGAAAAAGCTATTATTTATAAGTCAGTATTGAATTAAATTATGACTACCCTCATTTGTTCCTCTTAAACTTTTCTAATTTTATTGTTTGATAACATTGCTTTATTAATTATCTTGTATTTGTTATGAATACAATTTTTAAGTGTCTTAAATCATGACGTAGCCACATTTATTAATAAGTACAATCTTGTCTTTAGTTTTATCGAACATAACAGGTAACAAGAACAAATGAACGTCTTGTTAACATTGCTTTGCGTTAGTAAATTATGAGATATAATTTATAACATTATTAGTAGTAATCTACTTATTACCTATGTTATGTCTACATTTTTTTTTTGAGGTTTTCCGCGAAGTCTACCTAAATTTTTTTATTTAAAGGGATCTCGATGGTGGAAAGTTGTAAATTATAATATTTGCTCGTCGTTTATTTCAGGTTAATACGTTAATTATAACAAACGGTCATTTTCGTATTAGGTATTTGTTAGTTTTGTACCCCAATAAATTCAGTGGAAAAAAACAGCAACAATATTAATTCTACGCCCTTTTTGAGTTTTAATGATTGAACACGTTTTAGTACGCTCTATACTGTTTCGTCGTAAATAATAAGACAATAATATATTATTATTAATATTATACAGTGCATATTGACAGCTGTGTATTTTAGAAGCTATGTATACGAAATACTATTCCAAGCAAAGAAAACAAGTGGATCGGTATTTATTTTTAAG